CCCCCCCCCCCCCCCCCCCCCCCCGGGTACATCTTACAGAAAACACCACAGCCAATGTGTCAAGCGAGGCGGAGCGCAAGGCGCAGCGTTATTACCAAGCCTGCATGAATGAGAGCAAGATCGAAGAGCTGCGTGCCACCCCGCTCGTGGAACTCATCCAAAAGGTTTGTCCCTTTCTTTGCAGAAAAGCTGTCTACCCTCTGCAAAATGGGGGAAAAAAAGTTCATTTATGGGCAGTCCCAGCACCCTCCAGACCCCATTCCTGGTGCTTCCTTGGGCAGAGCATCCCCCAGGGCAGGGGAGAGGCAGGGATTTACAGGATTTATAGGCAGGTCTTGCCTCTCCTGGGTTTTTTAGCCCCACTGCAAGATGTTTTCCCCCCAGGGTGGGTACTGGGGGGATATTTAAGCAGCTCCAAGTGGTCATTCCTTAGCCAAAAAGCTGGCTGCTCTCTCCCCAGCTGGGTGGCTGGAACATCACAGGTCCCTGGGCAGGGGACAACTTCAACGCAACGCTGCGGGAGGTGACGGCGCATTACCGCACCTCGCCCTTCTTCTCCGTCTATGTCAGCGCCGACTCCAAAAACTCCAACAGCAACGTCATCCAGGTGGATCAGTCGGGGTTAGGCCTGCCGTCACGGGATTACTACCTGAACAAGACAGAGAATGAGAAGGTGAGGTTGTCAGGGGAAATCTGGCTTTGCCGGGGAGGTGCTGTGGGTGGGTGGCACCCACTATGCTGATTTCCCCCCTTCCACCACGTAGGTGCTTGCTGGGTACCTGAACTACATGGTACAGCTGGGGATGTTCCTGGGAGGCACCGACGAGGAGTCAACACGGCAGCAGATGCAGCAGATCTTGGACTTTGAGACAGCACTAGCCAACATCACCATCCCACAGGAGAAGCACCGGGACGAGGAGGTCATTTACCATAAAATGACAGCTGGAGACCTGAAGGTAGGGATGGAGTTGGCGAAACTCCCAGCTCCACTGTGGCTTGGGGATGGGGGCCGGATGGATGGAGGTGATGCAGCTCTTGCGAGGCAGCCCCTGGGAAGCTCTTGTGCAATTGTTGGCCTGTGTCCTCCTTGGGGAAATCCCACCCTGAGCCGCTCCTCCCAGCTCTGGACCACCTCAAGGGCCAGCGGCCGTCCTGCTGCGGCACTGATGCCCCCCCAGTGCTGCTGTCTGCGGTCCAGCTGCGGATGTCAGCCCCCAGAGGGGCCCTAATGGGTTGTGTCAACATTTTTGACACCCGCCCCACTTTCTTTTCCTTTGCGGGAGAAAATTGTTTACTTCCCTCTGACCTTTCAAGGATGCTGCTGTTATGGGAAACAGTCTCTGCAAAATCAGCTGAATCCCTCAAACGTGGCTGATGCAGCAGCTTCCAGCTCAGGAAGCGGCTGCCATCCCCCTCTGATGGTTTGTGGGTCCATAGCAGCAGCGTGGCTTTTGCAGGAGCTGGCACCAGCCGTGGACTGGATGCCCTTTCTGACCACGGTCTTCTACCCTGTGGAGCTCAATGAGTCAGAGCCCGTCGTGGTCTACGCCAAGGAGTACCTGGAGCAGGTCTCTGACCTCATCCTGGCCACTGATAAATGGTGAGAGCCCCCAGCCCGTGCAGAGGGGTGCCCAGGGTGGGCAGGCACGTTCCACTGCCTGCTCACCACCTCTCGCTGCAGTCTCCTCAACAACTACATGATCTGGAACCTGGTGCGGAAAACCAGCCCCTTCCTTGACCAGCGCTTCCAGGATGCTGAAGAAAAATTCATGGAAGTGATGTATGGGACAAAGAAGGTGAGGGGGCAGCCCCCAGCGCCCCCAAATCACTGTTAAAATGGTGGCAGCTTTTTAAGCAAAGTCCTCGCTGCATTGCATCCAAAATGGATGTAGGGCAAGTTTTGGGGTGGCAGCTCCTGCACAGGGGGATGGATTTGGGCTTAATCTCCTGGTGGGGCAATGGGGTGTGAAAGTTCTGGCCATGCCACCACTGATGACTACTTGTCCTGTGCAGACCTGCCTCCCGCGCTGGAAATTTTGCATCAGCGACACAGACAACAACCTGGGCTTTGCCCTGGGGGCCATGTTTGTCAAGGCCACCTTCGCCGAGGACAGCAAGCAGGTGGTACGTCCCTGAGCAAGCAGCATGTGAGCCACCATGATGGTGGATGGTGGGGGCAGCCCACCTTTTGCACACCCTTTGGGTTTTTCACCGCTCTGCATGCCATCTCAGTTTCTTCCTTCCCACCGGTGCAAAGGGCCTGTGAACTCTCCAGAGTGGGAAGTTGGCTTTCCAGACTGACATTGTGCGACTTTGTTTTGTCTAGGCGGAGGAAATGATTGCGGAGATTAAAACTGCCTTCGAGGAAAGCTTGGAGACCCTGCAGTGGATGGATGAAGAGACGAGGAAATCGGCCAAAGAGAAGGTGAGGCAGTTGCAGCAGTGCCGGGGAGGAGAGAGAGGGTGATGGCGGAGGGTGGTGGAGCTGGGCGAGCCTGTCCTGCCATCCTTGGCACCAAAGGCACTTTGGTCCTTGTCACCCCCCAGGCAGATGCCATCTACAATATGATTGGCTACCCCAAGTTCATCATGGACCCCAAGGAGCTGGATAAAGTCTTTAATGATGTAAGTTGGTTGGAGTTGTCCCCTCAAGTCTCCTATTTTCCCCTCCACAAGCATGTGCAGGATATGTGCCCATCACCATGGCCTCAGGGCAGCCTTGAACCCCAGGTTTCCTCCGGAAGGGTCTCACTGATGTTCTTGGCCCTTCCCTGGGGACTTCCCAGATTGCTGTGGGCCAGTCCTGGGGTGGCTGGGGCTCTTGGGATCCCTGCCCGGGAAGAGGAGGAGCCGGTTTCCGTAACAGTGATTCATTCAAGGCTCTGCAGATGTTAGGGAAGAGGAGAAACAAGAGCGGCTGTAACTCAGCTGGCTCCAGAGACTCATGACCATGGTGGGAGGAGCAGGGCCCAGGCGATCACCGTGCACCACTCACATCTTGCTCTTTTGCAGTACGAGGCTGTGTCTGACCTCTACTTCGAGAACGTCATGCAGTTTTACAACTTCTCAGCCAGAGTCACTGCCGACCAGCTCCGGAAACCACCGAACCGGGATCAGTAAGTCCTCCGCTTCCCCATTGTGCTCAGTGTGGAATATCACAACATCTGGAGCACTGGGATTTGGTGTCCACCACGCTATGCTGGTTTTGGGAGTCAAATTCAGGCAATGACTTTGCACTGTGATAAGTGGATGGCATCAGAGCGAAGATCAGTGATGGGTTTGTGCTGCCACATTGGCCATGTTCCTGTCCCTGCAGGTGGAGCATGACACCTCCCACAGTCAACGCGTACTACTCTCCCACCAAGAATGAGATTGTCTTCCCTGCTGGCATCCTTCAGGCCCCTTTTTACACCCGTGCGTCTCCCAAGTAAGAGCCTAGGGAAAACAGGGAGAGCAGAATTCCCAAGTTTCCTCCCCTCCCAAAATCTGAGGCTACATGTCATGGCTGCGGGAAGCAGCAGCTGCTCCCTAAATCTCAGTGTTGCCCTCCTGCAGGTCACTGAATTTTGGTGGGATTGGCGTGGTGGTGGGCCATGAGTTGACACACGCCTTCGATGACCAAGGTATGGCCAGGGTCAGGCTGGGGTGGGCTGCTGGAGAGGGGTGGCCAGTGGGGTGACGAAGGATCTGCTGTGTTTTTGGCAGGCCGGGAATACGACAAGGATGGCAACCTGCGTCCTTGGTGGAAGAACTCCTCGGTGGAGGCCTTCAAGCGGCAGACAGCATGCATGGTGGAGCAGTACGGCAATTACACTGTCAATGGTGAGGCCATCAACGGCAAGCACACCCTCGGGGAGAACATCGCCGACAACGGGGGCCTCAAGGCCGCCTACCGGGTAGGGCCACGGGGCTGGGGAGGTGCAGTGGGTGTCATGGTGAGGTGGGATCAGTGGTGTCCCCTGAGCCCCCTGTGCTCCCTGGCCTCCAGGCATATCAAAACTGGCTGAAAAAGAATGGGGATGAGGAAACCCTGCCAACCCTTGGCCTCACCAACCATCAGCTCTTCTTTGTTGGCTTCGCCCAGGTAGGTCACCCAGTGGTGGGTAGGGAGGGTTGGACGTGCAGGGTTTTGGGGGGGTGGAGGCATGCCCAGATGATGTTGGGAGGGTGTGGTGGCAAAACTGACGTCTGAGATGCTGCGTGGTAGATGGAGAACCAGATCGGGGTGGCGCTGGTTATAAAAAGCGAGACAAAGCTGGAGCTCGAGCTGCATTGGTGTCCATCACGCAAACGGGGAGGTTCGATTCGTCCCCGAGCAGGGCCCTGTGGTTGCAGACGCAGGCGCTCGTGCCTCTTGCCCTCCGTTTGCAGGTGTGGTGTTCGGTTCGCACACCGGAGAGCTCACACGAGGGGCTCATCACCGACCCCCACAGCCCCTCGCGTTTCCGTGTCATCGGCACTGTCTCTAACTCCCGGGAGTTTGCGGAGCATTTCAGCTGCCCCCTCGGCTCCCCCATGAATCCCCCCAAGAAGTGTGAAGTCTGGTGATGGGCGAGCGCCTGAGGGAACCAGCTGCCGGTTGCTTCGTCCTCTGCCGACAGCTGAATTTCCCTGCTCCTTTTGTAACTCAAACCACTTCTCCGTGCAACAAACTGCCCAACTCTCAGCCGGAGTGGCGCCCTGCGTCCCCCGGTATCGTCCAAGGTTCGATCCACTGTGAAAACTCTTCATCCCCTTGCTTGTTTGTGAAATGACTTCGGTTTGGGGGTCTTTTCTTTCCCACCATGACCGAGCCACGTGTCAAGGCACACGAGTTCATGGGCTCAACCTCCATACTTACACAGACAGCGCTCCAGCCTGACGCATCGCCCCGGCAAAATGCCTCTTTTTTTTGGAGGTGATAAAGGGAACGCCGTGACACCGGCAGGTTTGGCTGCGTGTCTACATCTGACGTACCTTCCTCTCTCCAAAGATGCGCACATGAGGATGGGAAATATTTTAAGATATATTTTTTGGGGGAAAATCTGTATATTTTTTTCATGCGTTGTGGAATACACTGGAAAATTTCAGGGAAAATGCATTTAAAAGCCTTTTTTAGTAAAAGATTAGTATATTTATTAATTTTTTTTAAACTTGGTGCAGCTGTAGATGACAGTCCCTCAGCCAAGGAAGCTGGATGGGGCTGCTCCAGATCCCAGGTTTCTCTGGGAGGGACTGTCCTCAGAGGATGCTGATGGGAAATTGGGGACAGCGGGCCTGGGGACAGAGCTGGAGGAAGCTGCGGGCTGCAGAAAGGCTCTGCCTTTCCTAGGGTTAGCTTTAATTTTGGAGTGCGAAGGGAAAAAAGTTATTGTGCCAAAGATGTACCCAAGGTGGTGACAGTGTGGATGAAGCACCCAGTTCTCCCTCCTGTCCCTTCTGAAGCAAGGTCAGCCGCGATTTCCTGGCCCAAATGCTTCCCCAGACAAGCGCAGGTGGTTCCTGCCGCTGCTTCGCTTGCCGCTGTGCCTGGCCTCTACTCCTGCGGAACTGCAAGGCCCAAAATCACTGCACGGCTCCAAACCTCCATCCTGCGGTGGCTGGTTTGGCACCAGTGTGAGATCTGGTCAGGATGGGGGCAAGGGGATTTCTTAAGGGTTTTTCAATATTCCTTTTGCAGTTTTGAGAAGAAACCACTGACTGTAGCTCAGGTGCTGTGTGTTGTCTCATGGGGCACCTTCTTACTCTAGAGAGAAAGCAAAGACGTAGAGGGATTTTTAATATTTATATGTAAAAGGGGGGATGGAGGGATTTTTTTTTTGTAACTATTTTTTCACCCTACACATGGGGCTTATTGTAATTGAAGTAATAAATACTTTTTACTGGGTCTGGAACTGCTCATGACTTGTTTTTTCTGATAGCAGGAGAGTCTTGCATCCCTTTATCTGCATTTCTCTCCCCATCTGCACTGATGAGACCATCCTGTGCCGACAAAGCTGAGCTGAGGAGGCTTTTCCCAGCCTGCACTTGGCATCTGCTGCCTTGCTCAGAGGCTAAAGCCAGGCTTTTGTGCCCAAAAACCTCACTCGCTGCGGGTGGTTGTTTGCTTTCCACCTCTATGGCATGGCCCCGCGCATCTCCCCAGCAGGGAGGTCTTTCCCGGATGCTTTTCCTTCCTCCCTGGGTGAATTTTTGGCTGGCCGGGCTGCACTTGGATCCAGCGACACAGGCTCTGCACAGGTTGCTCTCCAAAGGGCCTTATTTATAGCTCTGCGATGCCGACTGGATGCTGCCAGCTCAGTAACACAGGCCAACGTTTGCTCTCCAGCGGATGCTCCGTGGCTATGTCGGGCTTGCCTAAAAAATGTAAGGCAGGACCTGGATGGCAGGCTCCCTGCTGAGCCTTGCCTCAGCACCTGGGAGGGCTGATGGCTATAAAACAAGCAAAATGCTGGGTGCTCATTTGCTGTGCAGTCCCAGCTCATTAGCAGGGGCTGGGTTTGGGCTGAAGCCCCTCAGTTTTGCCTCATCAGGAGTGTATTTTGGAAATACAGGACATTTTCACTGCTGGGGTGGGCAGGATTAAACCAGTGGTGTGCAAGGGATGCAAGTGATGTGTAATTTAGACGGTAAAATTTCCCTCTTGCTGCTTTTACTGTGTTTTCTCTCCCAGATTGAATCAAAATGTAACCGGAGAGCACTCACTTTCTGCTCACGCGCTCCATGCGAGGCCCTCCGTTTTCAGCAGAGCTAGGAAAGCAGCCGCGGCCGTTGTTTTCCCCAGGAACTAGCTGGAAATGGTGGCATAAACCCGCAGAGGGCGATGGAGCCGAGAAAATCGCTGCCTCTGCTCTCCGCTCCTGGCTGGCAGGAGTTAGCGATGCTACCGGTGTGGTATTTTGGCCTGGAGCTGGCCCCTCGTGTTTAAAACGCGGTGAAATGCCTGTGTTCCTGGGAAAAGAGAGGAGCGGCGTGGGTGTAAGGCTAAGAAGAAATAAGCGGGGAGAGTGGGGTTGGAGTGAAAGGGTGTTTTCCCAGCTGCAAGAAGCAGGGAGTGGAGCACAGCCTGTCATGCTGAGAGGTAGGACGCTGTTAGAGGTGGTTTAACCATCCAAAAGGGAAATATTTTGGTGCTTGGGGCCTTACTCAAAGCAAAGGACTGGGCAGGTGATGTCTCGGCCACCGCAGAGTGGATAAGCCCAGCGCAGGAAGGATTTCAAGGGCCTGGATGGTGGCAGGGGCATGCCATGGCCGAGGGTCCCTGTGCTGGGCTTGGAGCTGGCGGTGGATGTTTGCCTGTCTGGGAGGCTGCTGGGTGTAGGCAGAGCAGGCAGGAGGTGACTCATCCTGCTTGTGTGCCAGTGCCTGGCGTGGGCTTGCCTGATCCTGGGTGGTATTCGCTTTATTTTGTGCTCAGTCGTGCCCCGGAGGGCTGAGACATTTGCCGAGGGCTGAGCCTGGGCAGGAGGAGGAACTGGGAAAGCTTCAAGCAGCGCTGAGGGTTTTTTTTGGGGGGAGGGGGTTATGTTTTGGGTTTTTTGCCTGGAGGGTTTTGGAAGGGGATCAGTGGGGGGAAAAGCAGAAGCCCAGAGAGGGAGGCGCTGCCGTACTGTGCTGGGTGAAAGCGGGTGCCTGAAGCTGGAGCCTCCAAAATGAGTTGGAAATGGCGGTTGCTCACAAGTTTGGTGAGGCTAAGCCAGCCTTCCAGGTGCGAAAGGCTACACCCAACCATCTGAACTGCTCTTCTCCTTCCCAGTTTGCCCCCTCCAAGCAGGATCTAACCCCCAACACATCACAACGGTGCTGGGGTCACCTCCTAGGACTGCAAGATTTTAGGGCAGATTTCAGAAAAGCTGCTTCTAACAATTCCTGCAGGAAAACAGCCCTTTTCCAATGATACCCCAATCCTTTACTCTCTTTTCCTAAGTTCACCAGCAGCCCTGGTGCTCCTACTACACTCTTCACCACGCAGTTGTGAGCATCTCTGTTGTGCCAGGTACGTGAGAGACTGGAAAAACGGTTGGTGATGCTCTGAAACGAGAGCTCAGCACATAAACTCAAGCTGCCCGCAGTGACACATCACTTCCCAGGTGCTAATAAAGCTAGCAGGGAAAATAGGAGGAAAAATGAAATGGAGAGGAACCAGAGGCAGTAGGAAGGGCGTGAATCCAGCTGGCACTTGCTCAGGCTCGCCAAACCTGCAGGTTTTGTTGGCCAAATTGTCCCATGTGGGGTAGTATTGAAGAGACCTGTCTGCTTTTTCCTTTTGCGGGGGGGG